CCAGGTCACCGGGAAGACTCTTGACTCCACCAGATCACCTCTTCCCTTGATTTCTCTAGACAGAGAGGACCCCAGTTTCTGTCCCAACCAGAATTGCTGCAAAAAGCATCCTGCATGTGCAGGGTGTGGTGGCGCACACCTGTAATCCCAGCACTCGGGAGGCTGAGGCAGGAGGATTGTTGCGAGTTTGAGACCAGCCTGGGCTACACAGTGAGCTCAAGGCCAGCCTGAACTGCATAGTGAGACCCTGTCTCCCAAATGACAAAAATAAACAAACAAACAAAAAAGCATCCTGCAGCCAAGGAGGCACCTGGGCCAAGGATTCTCAAACCAGAGAAAGGTGAAGGCACCTCCAAAGGCGGAGCGTGGTGGCGCATGCCTGTAATCCCAGCCCTCTGGGAAGCTGAGGCAAGAGGGTCACCATGAGTTCGAAGCCAGCCTGGGCTACATAGTGAGACCCGGTCTCAAAAAACCCAAAATAAATTCTCCCAGGCCCTACGCTAAATGACTTCTTCTCTAAAATGACTTGGATGTCCATTAATAGGTTTACTAAATATCAAGTCTTTTCTCTTTCTTCCTCTAGCCAGCTATAAATCCTAAACAACTTTGCAAACTAAACCGAAAGAAAAGTAGAAAAACCATTAATATTTAGAGAAGGGCCATCAGCAGGAGTTTAGGTTTGCACTGCCAGGCCCGGTGATCTCCCCTTCCTTATGCAGGAGCCACCACTATACAGCTGCCTGCCGCAGTGCCCTAGGCGCCTCCCTGGCCAAACCTGGTTGACTGCCAGGCCCACTCCCGGGCTCTTCTTGCAGTGCAGTGGCGATGCTGGGGGCCAGCTCAGTGACTGGCAGCTAGGCACACATGCTGAGCACCTTGGCTCGGCTCAGTCCAGCAGACGTGGAAATTACCCAGAACCTACCAGTACTTGTGTTTGGATATTGTCATTAAAAGCAACCACGGGGCTGGGGATTTAGCTTAGCGGCAAAGCGCCTGCCTGGCAAACGCAAGGTCGTGAGTTCGGTTCCCGGTACCGGAGAAAAACCAAAAAAAAAAAAAACAAAACAAAAGGAACCACAAATACAGTCTCACATTCTTTATTCAGAGCTTTGAGAACCCCCGAGAAGCCCTCACATACGCCCACCAGAGAAACCGTTCTCTTGTAGTGCAGAGTTGTAGGGCAACTGATTCAGGAGCCGCGTGGGAGGGATGGGAATACCCAGGAAAGAAAGCTGCACTGTGGAGACAGACAGACAGAGGTGAGGAGGTGGTCCAGAGCGGCCACGTGGCCTGGCAGAATTCAAGGAGCAGAGACAGGGGCTGCTCGCGGAATTCCTTGAAACAATACAGACCCTCCACACCTGCACGTTCCACATCCTCAGAGCCAGTCAACCTCACACTGAAAATATTGGAGAAAAAGTTGTGTCTGTACTGAACATGTATAGACTTTCTTCTTGTCCTTGTTCCCTAAGCAATACCCTGTAGCAACCATTTACATAGCGTTTCAGGGCTGATTTGAAGTGTATGAGATAATTTGCATAGGGTTTATGCAAGTACGAGGCCATTTTGTATAAGGCGCTTGAGCATCTGTGGGTTTTGGTATCCATGGAGGAGGAGGAGGAGGGTCCTGGAACAAAAGATTTAATCCCCAGGATCAACCCGCTCCCCTCTAAACAAACAAACAAACAAACCCAGAAACCCACTTGGGGTTACTAAGGCAATGGGCAAATACAGTCCTTCCAAGTGAGCTTCTGCGTTGGTTGGTTTGGTTGGTTTTGGGGGAGGGAAGGGGTTGGAGCTGAGCTACATCTCCAACCCAATTTTAATTTTTTTATTTTGAGTCAGGGTCTTACTAAGTCA